TTTTTAGTCTGCCCCGAAATGCCGAATGGCGAAGTTTACAAGGCCGTCAAGTACTTCTCCGACACGGAGGTGGACTTTATCAGTCAGTGCGTTCGAGNAAGGCCGTCAAGTACTTCTCCGACACGGAGGTGGACTTTATCAGTCAGTGCGTTCGAGCGGAGAAGGCAAAGGCGCCGCCTAAGGGCTACTTTGAGAATGTGCTCGACAAGATCAACGCCAAGATTGGCGGTATTGTACGTAGTGGTGGGGTAACTGACTGAGTGTAATTTACTTTTTTTTAACACCATTTTCCCACTTTTCCCCCAACCACGCAGAACACCGCCGTCAGCGAGGACTACCTGAAGGGGCTGCTGCTGCCCTTTGAGGTAAAGGAGACGATGCTGGTGGGCATCGATGTGAACCACCCCGGGCAGTTCGACAAGATCGCCGCCTCGATTGCGGCCGCCGTGGGCACCTCCGACTCGACCATGACCGCCTACTCCTGCTCGGTGCGCGTCCAGGAGAAGTTCCACAGCGAGGCGGTGGAGCACATTGGCGAGATGGTGGGCTCGCTGGTGGCGAACTTCAAGGAGCGCAACCGAGGAGTGCTGCCCCGGAATATACTCGTCTTTCGCGACGGCGTCAGCGACGGCTACTTTGGGCGCATCGAGGCGGAGGAGATTGCCGCCCTGGAGACGGCGGTGCGGGCGCTGGTGAAGGACGTCCGCTTCGCCTTTATCATCGTGCAGAAGAACCACAATGCCCGCTTTGGGCTGACCAGGGCGAACACCACCGCCAGTGGGAAGCCCACCTTCAACGTGGAGCCGGGCACGGTAGTGGACTCCTTTGTGGTTGACCCGGTGCGGGAGAACATGTACCTGAATAGTCACTTTTCGTACCTGGTAAGCTTTTTTTGTCTACTTTTCTTGTTTGCTGTTTAACACTTTCTGCTTTCAGGGCACCTCCAAGCCCAGTCGGTACCTGGTGCTGCGCGACGACTTCTCCCTGAGCGCCGACCAGCTGGAGAAGGTCAGCTTCTTCGCCTGCCACAACTGCGCCCGGACGCGGAAGCCGATCAGCACGCCGGTGCCCATCCGCTACGCCCACCTCTGTGCCCTGCGAGCGATGCTGCACCTGCAGGCGCAGGACTTTATCGACTCGGACTTTATTACCGTCTCATCGTCGGGTGGTGGTGACGGCCGCGGCTTCAGCAACTACGAACGTAAGGGCGTGAAGGTGGAGAAGCTGGCGATGTGCATTGAACACAGCAAGGTCAACTGCAAGAGGCTGTACTACGTTTGAAGAGGAGAGGAGAAGGAGGTTAGTGGGCAGTGGAGGATTTACCTATGACGGATTTTATATAACTGTTTTCATAAGTGGTGTGCGGGTGTGTGTGTGTAATCAACGAGGAAACTTTAGTGAACTTGAAAGTGTTTTGCTTTATATCGTCTTTTTCTTCTTCGGCTGCTGCTGCTGCTGCTGACTCGAATCATCGGTTTCTATATCGGTGCTATTTTTAGCCACGCTTATCAGCTCATGTGCACCGGTTTGCTTATCATTGCTTTACAATGTAGCACTGATATTAGAGCTGGTGTGTGTACGGCTGAATGAAAAAAACTGTAGTTTGCTCTTTACTNTGAACTTGAAAGTGTTTTGCTTTATATCGTCTTTTTCTTCTTCGGCTGCTACTGCTGCTGCCTCGAATCATCGGTTTCTATATCGGTGCTATTTTTAGCCACGTTTATCAGCTCATGTGCACCGGTTTGCTTATCACCGCCTTTACAATGTAGCACTGATATATTAGAGCTGGTGTGTGTACGGCTGAATGAAAAAACTGTAGTTTGCTCTTTACTGGCGGCNGCTTATCATTGCTTTACAATGTAGCACTGATATTAGAGCTGGTGTGTGTACGGCTGAATGAAAAAAACTGTAGTTTGCTCTTTACTGGCGGCGGCAGCTGAAGCAGACTTCTTTCATCTCTCCTCGAGCTCACTGCAGCAGCATATGGACCCCTCGTCTGATTTGTCTGAGCTCGTCTGGCTTGATCTCAGTGTCAATTGTTTGCTTTGATGATGATAAATGTCTTCAGTGTTTTCTGTGATTGTTGTGCACACTGTCCTCTTCTCCCCTTGATCTCGGCATCATAGTACTACTACTACTACTACGTCTGCACATATGGCACGTCGTCGTTTTTTCCTTCTCCTCATCCCGTCTGCAAGTGATTTATCACTCCACCAGCAACTGGTTTGCCTGCTGCTGCTGCATCGTCTGCTAGGTGATGCACCCACGCAAAAACATCAGCTATATTTGGTTTGCTCTCTCCTCTTTTTTTGCGGCTAAAAAATCTGTGTCCACCCTGTCGGACATGAAGCAAACATTGGCCAGCGTTTTTCAGTAGCAGCTTTTCAGTGCAACTTTGTGAAGATATGATGGCGAATGAACTCAACTTGGCGGTGGAAGACCCAGCTGGTCTGCAGAGAAGGCCTCATATGGACGAAAATGATGACACTGTTATCGTTCCTCCTCGAGGAGATCACTCCTCTTTCTCCTCATCATCAACAGCCAACAACAACTCCCATCCTTCCTCCTCTTCCCCCTCACTCTCCCCCTGGCAAGACCGCCTCATCCTCCTCCTGCTGACGGTGGCCAACTTCATCATCGCCTTTGGCGTCTCCCTGCAGGGGCCCTTCTTCCCGAAGGAGGCCGAGTCTAAGGGCGCCCAGCCAATTACCTACTCCTCCATCTTCGCCATCTACGAGCTGGTGATGCTGGTCACCTCGTTCGCCTTTGGCAAGCTGGCCGGCGACGCCAGCGAGCTGATGTCCGGCGCCGGCCTCACCCTGACCGGCCTCAGCACCGCCCTCTTCGGCCTGCTGACCCTCCTTCCCGGGCAGCTGCCCTTTGTGGGGGCGGCCTTTGCGCTGCGAATCGTCGAGTCGCTGGGCGCCACCGCCTTCGCCACCAGCAGCTACTCCTTCATCGCCGCCTGCCATCCGCAGAAGACGGGCACGATGTTTGCCACGCTGGAGACGGCCTTTGGCGGCGGCGTGGTCATTGGCCCGGTGGTGGGCGGTTTCCTGTACGACCTCGGCGGCTTCCTCCTGCCCTTTCTCACCGTCGGCGCGATGATGACCACCTGTGGGGTGATCATTCTTAGTGGGCCGGTGCAGAGGCTGTTTAAGAGGGGCAAAGAGGCCGGACAGAGGAAGGCGGCGGAAATTGGGGAAGAAGGTGGAGGTGTAGAAGCAGGAAATAGCGTACAGTCGTCTTTTGTGGACAGTCGCAAGTTGCTGGCAGCGGTTTCTGAAACGGACCATTCAATCAACAATGACGAGGAGAGGGAGGAGGAATCTTTGCCGACCACCACCGAAGTNCAATGGCGCCACACTGGAGGTCTTCCTCCGAGGCGGCGGCATCGTCTCCAGCACTCTCGCCGTCAGCCTGCTCTTTGCCGCCCTCGGAGCCGCCTACGGCGTGGGCGCCCTCCTCTGCGGCAAGGCCTGCGACCGCCTTCCGCCCAAGTACCTTCTCCTCTTCTCCATCGCAGGATCGGCCCTCACCGCCGTCGGCCTCATCTTCCTCGGTCCGCTGCCCTTTCTGGAGCACTCGCTGGCGCCCAGCCTCCTCTCCTCCGTCCTCTGTCTGCTGCTCTTCGGAACGGGTTCCGCGCTGAAGCAGGTGGCCGCCTACACGCACGCCCTCAAGTACACCATCCACCGACGCC